ACCCAAACCCTAAACCCTACGGTAAGCTTTCGTCTTTTTTTACGGGCTCTTTTCGAACTGCAGGTACAGCTAGAATTCCTGTACTAGGAGGAACCTCTAGGTTTAGGGTCCTAAACCCTAAACCCTAAACCCTAAACCCTAAACCCTAAACCCTAAGCCCTAAACCCTAAACCCTAAACCCTAAACCCTAAACCCTAAACCCTAAACCCTAAACCCTAAGCCCTAAACCCTAAACCCTAAACCCTAAACCCTAAACCCTAAGCCCTAAACCCTAAACCCTAAACCCTAAACCCTAAACCCTAAGCCCTAAACTAGGGTGTAGGGTTCAGGGCGAAGGCTTCACGCTTCGGGCATTGGGGTTCAGGGCTCACTGGCACAGCTGAAGGCCATGTCAGGAGCCCTGAACCTTTTAGAGTTTAGGGGTTTAGGAGTTTAGGGGTTTAGGGGTTTAGGGGTTTAGGGGTTTAGGGTTTAGGGGTTTAGGGTTTAGGGTTTAGGGTTTAGGTGTCACAAAGAAACAAACCCTATGGTTTAGAGTTCAGGGCTTTTTTGCGGGTTGATTGTTTTGGGCCTGGGGTTAAGGATTTAGGGAAGAAATTACGTTCAGTCAACAATGAAATAGTCAAGCTAACTTCATCCAACTTGGCCCCACAAGGGGTTGAGCTTGCAACATCTTGTGCTGAGATTGAACGGGACTCTGCACTTTAAGATACGTTCATCTCGGCGCCCCTATTAAGGCGCCATCCGAGGCCACAGCATGCTGAACACAATCCGGGGTCTGGGATGTTAGGGTGTAGGGTTTAGGCTTTAGGATATAGGGTGATATAGGGTGTAGAGGTTAGGGGTTTATCATTAAGCCCTACACCCTAAACCTAAACCCTGAACCATGGGGCTTAGGGCTAGGGCGAGGCAAAGTAGCAGACAGAGTTGTAGAATAGTCGGGTACACTCCAGCCTGGCAGAGGTACGTAATGATTCGGCAGAGGGTTCAAGCTTGAGGTCGTAGGCTCCAGGGTTTAGGCAACACAAACCAACACTAGCCTTGAGCTGGAAAGAGCCAGAGAGTTTAGGGTTTAGGTTAGAAGGGGCCCCCACCCTGTAATAGTGGTACAATAGGAATATATAAGGGCCCTAATAAAAACCTTATAGTCACTATGACAGGGTGGGGGCCCCTTCTAAGGTTGAGGGTTTAAGTGAGAAGCAACGACAAGCAAAGGTCCGAAACAAGACGAAGCGTGCAGAGCTCAAGCTGAACGCAGCGGCCACGGCAGTTAGGGTTTAGGGTTTAGGGTTTAGGGTTTAGGGTTTAGAGCAGCCACCAAAGGCAAAGACTTACGAAACAAACCGAGAAACCTAAATCACAAACTACAAGCCCTAAACCCAAAAAGCCAAGGAACCCTAAACCCAAAGCCCTAAGCCCAAAAGCCACGGAACTCCAAACCCCAAACCCAGAAGCCGAGGAACGTTGAATTTCAGCTGCATGTAACCTCGGCTGAAGCGCAACTTCAGATCTTCAGGCAGGCTTAGTGCATTTCAGAGGTCACCAAGGTTTAGGATTTAGGGATTCAGGGGTTTCGGGTTTGGGGGTGTAGGGTGTTATGCAAGACGTCTGCGGACCATCCAAGCGAGAAGCATGTCTAGGGTTGAGGGGTTAGGGTTCAGGGTTTAGCAGCAGGGCAGCTGCCATACTTCTGGGTGTCAGCATGACAGTCGTACCAATGGGTAGTTGTCAAAATTAAGGTCCTTTTTGGATACCCTAGATAAGAGGTGCCGTACTATAATAGGGACCCAGAGAACCACCCCAATACAGTCTTGTGTGCAGTGCTATCCTCGTTGCTACTGTTCGCGTCGCTTGTTCGTGCTACGAGGATTAAGAGGTTCGGGTAATATGGGGGCCTTAATAATTATGTAGAACAGGGTTTTGGGGCCCATTATACTGCAAGGATAATAAGGAACCCCCAAAACAGTGCAGGTAATTATTGAGGCCCCTAGAGCTGTAAGGCTGCAAGTCATCTTCTTCTTCTTCACAGATCATCGCACTACCACCGCTCCGCCGTTGGCAAAGGCACTCGATTACCAAACATGCGTTTTGGAAGCCCGAATGATATATTTAGTATAGAGTTTTGCTCGTTTCAAGAAAATTTCTGCGGACTTGAGCCTGACCCGCAGCCTAAAGAACCCCCCCTGTCGCGAAATCGTTCCTTTTGCACAGGCTGGAGTCCACCCAACCCTCCAGATGGGAGCTTCCAAAAATAGGAAACCCTGGTATAGTTTGGCACTCTAAACAGTAGGATTTTTATTATAAGGACCCCCCAAAATGAGGTATCCTGTAATTTTCCGAAACCTTTCAGATGAGTGCAGCCCATGGATCCAACAGTGGACGCGAAAACCGACACGATGGCATTCACGGCTCCGTAGAGCGAGATCTCGTAGTTCTTGTCTACCTGCGCTTCGGGTTTAGGGTTTAGGGTTTAGAGCTTGGGGTTTAGGGTTTAGGGAGTTCTTGTCCACCTGCTTGGAGGATCATGGGGCTTAGTAAGTAAATGTGCCTTAACAGGCTCCTTTTCGGGATCTATAGGCTCCTGAAAGGGATCTATGGGTTTACGGTTTACGGTCTACTTGGAGGCTCAGGGGACTTAGGAAGTAAGCTTGTAAGTAGCTTAATTGGGGTTAGCCTTCAAGTTACTAAGTTTAACTACCTTATTTTATAACCTTACTTACTAAATCCCATGATCCTCCAAGTGTGAGCGGGACGCTGTCTGCTGAAGACGGCAGTCACAACCATACACTTCATACAAATAAAAGACTTTTTCTTGTTGCTAGACCCCCATGAAGGGGTGGAATTTGATGTTTAAAATTCCCAACTTCTTGGGTGCTTCGAGTCTGGGCTTGGTGCCAGATCCCCTTAGCTAAAATGCTGCTTTGGGGTCATCAAAAGGATGGCTCTTCATCTTAACACGGAAATCCCCAATCCTGAATCCTACATCCCAAACCCTCAGACCTTCCAAAGTCCCTTAATGAAGGGATAAACCTTATATAATTCATATTATGGATCCTACAACTTAAGTTCATATTATGGATCCAATTCTAACTTAGACTCGTCTTCGGGATCCGACTACAACTTAAGGTATATTCCTTAACTGGTCTGGGCACTCAGCCCCAAATCCGAAACCCCGAACTTGGGATTCTCAGCCTGAACCGTAAAATTCCCACACCTCGAAGCCCCCTTCCAGACCCCCCCTTAATGCCCCATTCAAAGCGGTTTAGGGTTTAGGGTTCAGGGTTTAAGGTTTAGGGTTTAGGGTTGCCCCCTTCAAAGCCCCCTTCAAAGCCCCCTTAGAGCCCCCTTGAAGCCCCCTTAAAGCCCCCTTAGAGCCCCCTTAAAGCCCCCTTAAAGCCCACGACGGCACGGTTCCAACCTTCACCGGGATCTTGTTCTCGGTCGAGGAGATCCTTCGAAAGCGAGCTAGGATATGTTGTATCAGTGTCAGTATCCGTCCGTACCAGTCTTGGTATTAGAGTGCTGGAGAGTACTAGAGTATCAGAGAGACGACTAGAGTATTAGTGTTTTGGGCTTCTGGTTGAAGACGTTCGGGCTTTCTCGAGAAAGGTGCCTTTGGGTGTGGGCGGCAGGGCTTTGGCGGGACGTGCGAATGTGGTGTTTGCAGGATCGAGCAATCCGTGCTGTGCACTTACCAGCCCTTGACCGGTCATTTCAAAAGCCCTTGACCAGTTCTGCACACCTCCGGGCCTTGAGCAAGGGGTGTCCCCAGAGCTGTAATCACTCCACACCCCCGAAAAAAGAAGTCGAAGCTTCCTAATCGCTCAAAACCCATGCAGGTGGAAAGTCTCAAAGCGACACCGCTGTGACCCCTCCCGTTCACAAACGGGGACGAGACACTTCAGGGAGCAGTCCAAGACCACCACCAGAATCATGATCCTTGAAGGTTTAGGGCTTTGCGGGGGGTTTAGGGTATAGGGTTTAGGGGTTTCAGGTTTAGCATTTACCGTCCAGGGCTTAAGGTCTGGGGTTGGGGGCTGAGGGGCATCTCAATCACCTTCAGACTGTCGACGCGGCAGAAGATCTAGAAACCGAAAGGCTCCGGTTTATTTTTCTACCGGCCTTTTCCTCCGGGCTCGGGTTTCTGTTCAAGGCTGCATACTGGGCCTCTCAATGGGACGCCAAAGGCACCCAAGGTCGGTGAAGGTAGAGACCCAGGCAGTGAAGTTGATCTTGCCTCGAACAGGGACTTTCCGAAAATTGGGGTGACCTTGTTTTGGGATCCTTTTAATAAGGATCCTTTAGAAGTAGCGCGCACCCTGTAATAGTGGTATAATAGGGGCCCTAATATAATCCTTATAGTCACTATTACAGGGTGAGGGGCCCCTTCTAAAGGATCCTACGATTTAGGGTACCACATTAGGGTCCCCTATTTTCGGAAACTCGCAACAGGTTCAGAGAACAGCTGCAAAGCTAACTCCGACTAGCCCTACTCTCCCTCTTGCTGCTGCTTCTGGTCAAACAACTTTGAACTCTACACCAAAACCATTCAAAACACGCAGTTGAGGTTGCGGGATGCTTTAAGTTTATGTTACGACATATAGTTTACATTATATTGCTTCCTTTTCCATGGCCATGATAGTTGCTTTCTTTTCTGGGATGGCGGTCTGAAAGGTGTATGGCTTGACAAGCAACTGTACTGGCCGATGCTGTCGGTCCAGACGAGGTAGAAGGGCTCGTTGCTCATCTTCGGAAAGAAGAAGTCGGAAGTATCGGCATCCTCGGAAAACGTGTCTTTTGGGATTTAAGACTTATGGATGTAAACTATTTTAGCAATCTTAGCGCACTAAACCCCAAACTGCTACATTCCGCAAAGGACTTGTGGGAGTCACTGGCGCCAAGGCCGAGCCGAGCCACGACGTCGTAGCCCGCGCCTAAGACGATAGCCCAGAAGATGACTAGGGGAAGCAGGATGCCCAGAGGCATCACGATGGCAGGGTTGCCTCGGTTCAGGGTTTAGGGCTCAGGGTTTGAGGCTCAGGGCTTAGGTTTTTTAGGGTTTAGGGTTTAGGGCTTAGGGTTTAGGGTTTGGGGTTTTAGGGCAGAAGTTTTGAGAGTAGGAAGATGGTCATGGTGCCAGAAACCATAGAATAGAACAATAGCTCATCAGCAAAGATGATGCCAATGATAAAAGTCACAGTGAGAGTAATCACGACAAACATCCTAATGGTAGCCATAATAACCATACTCATGATGGCAGCAATGGTGATGGAGATACCCAAGAGGCCTACGAGACTTCCACATCGACATCTGACCCCCCTGCCGAGCTGCCTATGTGCATTGCCTTCATGAAGTACAGCGGCACACCCACGCAGGCAGCGGGGACAAATTGGTAGTAGTCGTAGTTGCTGAACTTGAGAGCATACCTTCCGAGGCAACGTAGGTCTGTCGAGCTGTGTTCGGAGTGCGCCGATCTCCTTTGAAAGCAAGGCTTTTGGTTACGAATCTCCCCATAATGCAACCGAACATATGCAGATATCATTACTGGTAAGCAGCTAGATATACACTTGCCAGAACCCCAATTGAAATCCTATTTCCTGTCGAAATAAACCACAAGCCCTTCACAGTGAAGCTCGGAATCCCAACACTGGGAAGCAATCTGAAGACCACTTCTTTGCCGCGGTGCTGAGACCCTCCAACGAGAACACCCTGCATCCATCTCAAGCCCTGAAGAAGCAGCATCGACACACCACGTAAGTTTTCGGAAGCTGAAGATACAGCACATCAGAGTACTGCAAAACATTAACCCGAAGCCCGAAAGCCGAATCAAGGCTCCGTTCTCGACCCCAGCCGAAAGTCTCTAGACTTCGCGGTCAAACTTATCATGAAAAGCAGAATAAACACTACAGTTGAGAATGGCTAACTACAGGTTAGAACCACGCCCAAGCGGCTTGAACACCTTGTAGCCGATGCAGGAAAGGAATGCCTGGCAGATTTCTGTGGAAACTTCGACAAACGGAACAACAATTCGTTGTCGTCCTTCTCCGTCATCCTGATCCTCAACAGCTCATCCTCATCGTCGTCTTCCTCCTCCTCCTCGTCCGTCGTCTTCCACCTCTTGCTCCCCCTCGTGATAGTCGTCTCGCACAGCGTCGTAGTCGTAGCCGTAGTAGGTAGCAGGCAGTCGGTAGTAGGTAGTAGGCAGTAGGTAGTAGGTAGTAAGTAGGTAGAAGGTAGCTGGTAGCAGGTAGCAGGTAGCAGGGAGCAGGTAGCAGGTAGCAGGTGGCAGGTAGCAGGCAGCAGGTAGCAGGTAGCGGTAGAGCAGTAGTAGCAGCAGTAGCAGTAGCAGTAGCAGTAGCAGTAGCAGTAGCAGTAGCAGTAGCAGTAGCAGTAGCAGTAGCAGTAGCAGTAGCAGTAGCAGTAGCAGTAGCAGTAGCAGTAGCAGTAGCAGTAGCAGTAGCAGTAGCAGTAGCAGTAGCAGTAGCAGTAGCAGTAGCAGTAGCAGTAGCAGTAGCAGTAGCAGTAGCAGTAGCAGTAGCAGTAGCAGTAGCAGTAGCAGTAGCAGTAGTAGTAGTAGTAGTTGTAGTAGTAGTAGTGGTAGTTATAGTAGTAGTAGTAGTAGTAGTAGTAGTAGTAGTAGTAGTAGCAGTAGTAGTAGTGGTAGAAGTAGTAGTGTAGTAGCACTTGTAGTACTTGTACTAGTACTAGTACTAGAAGAAGAAGTAGAAGTAGAAGTAGATGGAGAAGTACTCATACTCGTACTAGTACTACTACTTCTACTTGTAGTACTAGTACTCGTACTAATACTAGTACTAGTACTAGTAGGAGTAGTAGTAGTAGTAGTAGTAGCAGAAAAAGAAGTAGTAGTAGTAGTAGTAGTAGTAGAAGTAGCAGTGGCAGTGGCAGTGGCAGTGGCAGTGGCAGTCGTAGTAGTAGTAGTAGTAGCAGTAGTGGTGGTAGTAGTTGTTGTTGTTGTTGTACCTGTACTTGTACTTGTACTAGTACTGGTAGTAGTACTAGTACTGCTAGTACTTAGACGAGTACGAGTGCGAGTACGTGTACTAGTACTAGTCATACTAGTAGTACTAGAAGTTCTACTAGTACTAGTAGTACTACTAGTACGAGTAGTACTTGTAGTACTAGTGGTACTAGTAGTACTAGTAGTACCGGGAGAACTAGTAGAACTATTAGTACCAGACATAGTAGTAGTACTAGACATACTAGCAGCACCAGTAGTACTAGCATAGTACTAGTAATACTAGTAGTGCTAGGAGCACTAGGAGTACAAGTAGTACTAGTACTACTCGTAATACTAGTAGTACTAGTAGTACTAGTACTACTAGGAGTACTAGGAGTACTAGTAGTACTAGCAGTACTAGGAGTGCTTGTAGTACTAGAAGCACTAGTAGTACTAGAAGTACTAGTAATATTAGCAATAGTCACACTAGTAGTACTAATAGAACTCGTAGTAGTGATGGTGGCAGCAGCAGCCGGCGTAGTAGTTGGAGGAGTAGTAGGGGTAGCAGTAGTGGTAGCAGCATTAGTACTAGTAGTCGTCGTCGTCCTCGTCGTATTAGTCGTAGTACTTGATTCTGTTGGATGACGCCAAGGGTGATGGTGGCGGTCGAGGGGGATGGTGGTGATGAAGATGCCGCAGGAATGATGACGACGATAATGACTGTGACGACCATGACCTTGGTCATGAGGATGGAAATCAGAGTGGTATGTTGCTGATGATGAAGATACTGATGCTGACGATGACGTTGATAATGAGATTGAGAATGAGAGTGAGAGAGAGAGAGAGATGGTGATGTTAATGTGGATGTTGTTCCTGCCGATGAAGATGATGATGATGATGATGATGGTGATGTGATGATCATGACGATGATGGTGGTGGTGGTAGCGGCGATGGTGATGGTGAAGTTGATGGTGATAGTGATGGTGACGGTGGTGACGCTGATGGGAATGAGCAGGAGGAGGAGGAGGAGGAGGAGGAGCGGGATGAAGGTGACAATGATGACGATGATGGCGATGATGGCGAGGTTGAGGATGGTGATGAAGAAGAACTTGACGACTGCGACAGCAGAGCTGGTGGTGATGCTGGTGATGCTGATGGTGCTGGTGGTGCTGGTGTTGCTTGTGGTGCTTGCGGTGCTTGTGGTGCTTGTGGTGCTTGTGGTGCTTTTGGTGCTTCTGGTGCTTTTGGTGCTTCTGGGGTGATTGTGGTGAGTGTTGTGGATGGTGGTGATTGTGGTGACTGTGGTGACTGTGGTGACTGTGGTGACTGTGGTGCAAGCGCCGATTGGTGGCAGTGGCGGCGATGATGTCGACGTTGATGTTGGTAGTGGTCATTGTGATGGCTGTGACGATGGTGATCGTGATATGGTCGTGATGGTAATGCTGACGCCGTGATGCTGGTGCTGGGGTTGGTGACGGTGATAGGTTCGAAATAATTAGGCCGGTGATTGTGAGGATGAACATCATCAAGTTATTCCGACTGACTGTGGGTACTGCTCAAGCAAGCACGTATGTCTAAGTGCTAAACATATATATATATATGTATATATACATATATATATACATATACATATATATATATATATATATACATATAGATCTGTGTGCGTATGTATACATATATGTGAAAGCATGTACATAAAGCCAGAGAAATAGTGTGCAGAAAGAGAGTCCCAAAATGTCCGGCCTCCTGAACCGAGGTCGGCACATACGACACGTATTTCGTGAGCTGTGCCTCCAGCCGTGGGAGGCGTCCAAAACTGTCATCCCTTGAGCAATTATTGACAGCATTACCCCCTGCACTGGCGACGACTGCCAACACCGTAGCGGATGTCCTTAGTAGCTGCTAGCTCTACCTACTCCCAATCTGCTACAAGTATTACCACTCCCATCCAACTATGGGATTCGGGAGCCCACCAACAACCGGCGAAGCAGAATTTCCCTTGGCTCGGCTGCCCTGCTTCATGCACGGTTTCGGGCTTCGGGTTTCAGCGTGGATACCGGAAGCCAAACTTTCGGGCTTCCTGTAGGAATTACTTTAAACCCTTTTGGGGTTATTATGAGTCCTTTGGGCAATCCTTTAAGAGTTACTTTTCGGGTTCCTTTACAGGTCACCTTCAGGGCTCAAGCAAGGAGAAGACGCCGTCGCAAACCTTAAGGGTTCCTTAAAGGGTTCCTAACATGGATCCATAAAGGGTTGGAGACCCAAAGCTCTGAGCCTAGGCACCCACCAATTGGAATCCGAAGCACCAACCATGGAGAGTCGGGCGGTGATGCCACAGGTTTGGCAGCCCGGGGAACTTGAAATTTCGGGTTTAGGATGGTTTTTGAGTTTTGGGCTTTGGGTTTAGGGTGGGGCTGGGAGGGCAGTAACAGAAACCGCGGCCCGAAAACAACGAGAATCAAACAAAACCGCTCATGAAGCACGGTGCACACAACGGAAACAACAAAAACCAATTGACCAACACGAAAACCGTCGCCGATGCGCGACCAGAAAGACACGACACGTAAGACGGATGCCAATCCCTGAACCCCTAAGCCTAAACCGTAAATCCATAGACCCTCCACTCTAAACCCTAAACTCGACAATCCTACACTCCTAAACCCTGAACCCTAAACCCTAAACTCCCAAAACCCTCGGCTAAAATCCCTAAACCTCTAAAATCCTAGGCCTTCCCCAGGAGGAGGAAGATCGCTGCGAAAAGCGCTGAGGAAGCGAAGGCGGAGAATAGAACGGTAGCCCGGAGCCTGATTCTAACTCCTCTTTCTGCACGGGTTTAATATCGAGGCCAAATAACGTGTACTACTTTGGGGGGTTCCTATTATGATTATAGTATATAATGGGCCCCAAAACCCTATTCTAATTATTAAGGCCCCTAGATTAACTGCTTTTAGTTAGAGGATACCTTGCCCTTTTTGGGTAATAATGCCACCGTCAACCCACTATATGATCATTCCTAGGGTCCCCCCTACACTTCACCGATATATCACTGCTACTTCCCCATTATCAATACAATTCTAGGAATAAACATTACCACATCTATTATCTCTAAGGTGGCATTATTGTTCAAAAGGGGCAAGGGGGTCCTTGTAGGATTTGGTTCAGGGTTGGGGTTAAGGGTTGTAACTCTAATGTAATTATACTATATAACTGCTTATGTATTATAATGACACTGTAACTATGCTGGTGAGGAGACTATCTACTTTGAATTTTGAACTATCATCTCATCTAAGAACTCTGTGGTTGCTTCTACATAATCATAATGTAATTGTTTGTCTATTTTTACACGATATTGTAAGTAATATATGGTCTTAACAAAAATATGATGAACTCTTTGAAAATACTTAGCATAACCACATAAGGTATCTTTGAAACAATTCATTTTCTCCTGATGCCATTGATAGAAGTCAAATGTAGCTAGGTTCTCATACGTTGTTTCATTTCAATATGTAACTCAAGTGTATAATCTTTATTTTGGCACTCATCTCGCATTATTTCATGAACTTCATCATATTCTGGGTATTTGTTTAACTTAGTAAACGGTAATATATAATCATCAAACAAATTCTTTAACTTACAACATTTATCACAACCATAGTAACCTACGATCTGATTTTTAAAGCTATGTAAGATATCGCACTTATCTAGTAAAATTTTCTGCATGTTCTTAACTGGGTTACACTTATCACATCTATTGGAATAATTAAATTTGTGTATCTGATTATACAAATATGTTTCATCATATTCACTCTCACTTTCATATTCACTCTCACTTTCATATTCACTCTCATTATTTACCACGATAATATTTAAGTTGTTATTTCTTTAAGTCATTTTCCTCAGAAATATTATTTTCTTAAGATTTACTTGATCACTATTGTTTGACAGACTTATCTAAGCATTCTGAACAAGTCAAGGTGTATTTAACAGCACAATTATTGTAATGTTTCTTACTAACTATATACACACGCTTGAAATAATCAATGGATTCGACTTGCTTACAACGATAACACTTCCTAGTATTAATATTATTTGTTTCAGTATATGGTTCAAAATCAACTAATATCTTATCTACTTTATTGGCATTATTATTATTATATATACTTTTTCATAATGCGACATTATGAAAATTTGCTCCGGGAGAGACTTAGCGTCTCTCGCGATTGCTCTACATGCAACCGATTCCTCAAGATTTAACGAAACTAATCACGAATTAATGTCATTACCAAAGTCTTATGGTCTGCCTATGAACCTGTAGAACTTGCTAGGCACATTTGGGCATTGGCTCACCTCCTTCTTCTGTTTTCATTGGGGGTTTTTTATATGCCAAGATGGCCTGTTAATATACACGAGATTTTAATCCATAATATTTAAATTGTTCTTCAAAATATTTACATCTTTGTCTATCCTTTCAACATCCTCCTCCACTTTTTCTAACCTCTCTTCTGGCGTAGGCTTTCGTGATCCCCACCCGGTGGTAGCTGTATCAACACCTTCACTATCTTGTGAGTTTGTTTTAAAGATGTCGTTTTCATCTGGTGTTATTCCTCTCCCCATCTTCCAATTACTTCTATCTTCAATTATTGTTTTACCTTCATGGTTTATCTTAGTCTCTTTGTGAAAAGTCTTTTTTCTACATTTACAAGGTAAGCAGTTTAACCCGTCCGTGTTCAAGTGGAAGCCACCTTCGTTAGTGTCCCTATGATTGTCGCTCATTAAACTTTCTTAGATCTTTTTAAATACTGAAGAACTGCTTTAAGCAATTCTAAAGAAGCGATGCAACACCTTTTAAGCTTGGTGTCTTGTATTACAATCTTTTCAATTTATTCCATATCATCTATCGTGTCTAAGTACTTCTCCATTATATTAAAAGATATTTTTCTCTGATTAGTTAATGAGCGAAGAAATACCTAAAGTAGAACCGATAGACATACCCGAATATAAATAAAAAACAGCAAGTTTGACATGATGCCGAAGCTACCCGCGCGGATGTTATGCGTGGCTTCTTCTACAGGCGGTAAAACAGTATTGATACAGAACTTAATGCTAAAAATCTACAGAGGATCCTTTGAGAGAATATACATCTTCTCGCCCAGTGTTCATGTTGATGACACTTGGTCGGCAGTAAAGAAATACATAAGGGATGTAATGAAGGTGGATGCCGAAAAAGAACAGCTTTATTACGAGGAATACGATCCGGTGGCGCTAAAGAAGATCATAGACACCCAGCATAAAGTAATTGATTTTCAAAAGAAGAATAAACAAAAGGATTTGTTTAGCATTCTGTTAGTGGTGGACGATTTCGCCGACGATCCCAAATTTGTAAGATACTCAAGTTTATTACATGGGTTGTTCACGAGGGGTCGCCATAATGCCATCTCGTGCATTTTATCCACGCAGAAGTATAATGTATTGGCCCCGATCATTAGACTAAACGCATCTGCTTTGTTTATTTTTAGACTGAAGAATATGAACGAACTCAACGCGTTTTTGGAAGAGGATTCCGCCTTAATGTATCAGAAAGCCGTGAATTTTGTTCCTTACTCCTTCTTCTATATAAACACCAATGCTAAAGATGTTAGTAATATGTTCTTCATTAATTTTGAACAACGCTTTCAAATAGGTGATTGATAATATTGTATCTTCCAAATATTACTAATTTAAAACGAGATCCAACTACATCTTCAGGAAATTCAATAACATATTTTTCAATATCGTTCAACATCATTTCAGAGAGGTCGTGAGTGCCAAGCGAGGTTTCTGTCCTAGCGTCGCGAATAGGGAAGATGTTTTCACTGTTTCTCACATGTTCCTTTAGTTCATTTAAAGGTAATCGTTGCTTTGGAACTGGTCGTTCACATTTTACACACGCCTCTAATACAACTACTTGTTTCATTAGTTCATCATTAACATCATAACCTTTTTCATTAGTTAAATACATACCATAAATGAATATTAAACAGCCTTTTGCTTCCTTGGTTAATGTTTTCATATATTATTGCTTAAAAATTAACTTTTAAACAATGATACTGGGCAACAATGTAAAGTAGTAAAACTGAAGCATGGGCATTTCCTTTTCTTCTTTAGCGCCTCTACTTTCTTTTCCTCTTCTTCCAATTTTTGTAATAGGTCTTTCATGGCAATCAATAATAGATCCGTTTCCGATATTTCTCTACTTTTTTGTTTTATTAATTCCATACACACTTTATACTGATCTTGAAACTCACTCATATATATCAACATATATTTATTTTTTTATCGCTGTCACTATTAGTTTTTACTTTCTTCTTCAACTTTGTTATTTCCCCCTTTCAGAGTAGCCATTTCCTTTTTCATTGCTTGGAATAAATCTTTCATTTCTTCGTTTTCATTCATAGTATATTGTAAAGCACTCCATAAAATTGGCACACATGTTGTGTAATCAAATTTTAAATAGCCATCTTTTCCTTCGTTTACTACATTCTGCCATTCATCTGGCATCTTCTTAGTTTCCATAAAATCATTAGCAATAAATCCAATACACGCTTTACCTTGTTGTCTATCATCATGAAAATGATATGTTTTCGGTTTAATATACTTTACTAACTCTACTTTTTACTATTTACTTCTTTTATGTCTTTCTTTAATCTTTTATCCGATGAAGGAACTAACGACCCTGTATATGAAACGTCTCCATAAACATCAACACCTGTTGTTGTTGCGTCTAATGTAGATAAGTTATTATTGCTTAATCTTATCCATGCGTTGTCATCTGGATTATTTATTAATACTCGTTGCTGTCCTGATATATCGTATTAATTGACGCTCCGGTGCGCTTCCTATGGTTCCGATGATAAAATTAATTGCTCTGTCAGTGTCTCCATTTCTTATATCTAGATCATAATCACTACCGTTTAAAGTTTCTTTTATGGATGATGAATGTTGAAAAAATAGCTCTCCCCATACATCTAAATCTGCTTCCGCTGTTATTCTTCCTATACTGTTAAAAGTTAAATTATTTGTAACTGCTCTGTTTAGTGTTATTCCGTTAGTGTCGTTTAATTGTAAAGCAATAGATGCTGTTGTTGGATCGGTTGCTCTGTTCGGCTGAAATGAGAAATTTATTTCGTCATTTGTGATTAAGTTTAATGAATTATTAGCGTCTGCTCTTCTGTATAATTTGCGATTATTCCATATCAATATTTCATTGTTACAAATAGTAGAGCGCCTAAATCGTACAGTAGACCTAAAGTTAGAATTGCCTCCGTTAACGTTAAGAACATCTACAACGGCATTAGCTCCTATCCCTAATTTATTACATCTCACCGCATTAGAACTATTATATTCAAAAATAGCTGTTGCGATGTGTCATTGGTATTATAAGCATCAATACTAAAACCTCTAAATCTTAATTTCCCACTATTATTGGCAATGGCTACAACATTACTGGCGTCTGTTGTTGGTTTGTAAATTGTAAATCCTTAATAATTAGAAATATTGAAATTATCAGTTTCATAATATATATTATCCTTGAAATATGTCGGTTTAAAAAATGTTGTTCCTCCTGTTGTATTATTGCATTCTATATTTGTATTTGTGTCAGTATCGTCATTAATTCCATTAATTAATCTTATAGCGTTCGCGGTTTCATTAATTGATAGTTCCAGTGATATGTTAGATTTAGTAACATTAGTATACTTTTCAATACTTGTGTTACCGTTTGTTAATTCAATATCCCCTTTTACTGTCAAGTTGCTTGTTATGTCAATTTCACCTCCTATTGTTACATTACTTGTAACATTTACATTATTCACCGACAAATCATTATTCATATTAATATTCCCCGTAGGGTTTAAATTTAAAACTACAACACTATCGTCGCCCGTGGCATTGGCATTAATTTTGTTTCCTTGTAAAGTTATGTAATTTGTAGCATTTTTAAATACTCTAACAATTTTATCTCCTCCTCCTCCTGTTTGATTACTGAATAATAATCCTGTAGTTGGTGATATGTTTATCGTCTCGTTGTTTAATGTTAGACCACTATGAATAATCGTAGGAGCGCTACAATCAATCATCGGAAATGTAGAAAACCTATCAGTAAAGTCTGATTTAGGAACTCTTAAATCTAATAAATTATCAATTTCTGCATCAGTGTATCCCGACCCACCACCGGCACCTGCTTTTAAATTTTTCACCTCACCTTTATTATAAAAGTTTGTAGCTAATAATGTATGATTTTGATAACTAGTAGATAAATTTATGTCTATCTGCGTTGATGTATAATAGTTAGTAAATGTTGAATCAATCTCTGTTTTATTGTAAAATTAGTTGCTAAAACTGTGTTAGTTTGATAATTGTTGGTTAAGTCATCATTGATTGCATTAATATTATTGAAGTTTTGCAATTGCTTTGCGTTTAAAACTGCTATGGCGTCGGTGTTTGCCGTTATGTCTGTTGTGAAGTTAAGATTTTCTACTTTTGTAGGTGTCCGATATTTCACTTACACCCGTTGAAGATGCTAAATAAAACTTGTCGGCATAAACTGCTGTTAGATTGTTTATTGAAGCCATTGTTAAACTAATTTAGATTTTAAGTTATTTAATGATGATAACTTGAAGTTAGTCTAAAACCGTTGAAGCTGATTCACTGAGCTCGAATATATGCTCTGACACGGCTGTTACGAAAACTCTTTCAATTCCTAGCGCGAAGTTTTGGTTGGCTCCTCGGATTTTAAAAGTGATCAAGGATCCCATTTTCGTGTTGGAACCTGTGAAATTCATATCTGGTTGCTGATCGAAATTTATTCCGCCGATAAATTTATCATTGGCATAACGGTAAATGTCAATGCTAAAACCATCGTAATAAGGGCTCATTACATTAACCGCACGGCGAAGGAAATACATAAATTCACTGATACTTGATATTTCTTGTTCTGGGAACTTCTTATTGGCTATCTGTATTTGTGCTGAAATTTGCTTATTGCTATCAATTACGCCTTCCAAATTGTCAATGGTTACTGCCATAGGATGGAAAAAGTAGTTCCACCTCTTTTTGTCATGATTACCTGCTGTGTTATCATTATCAATATTACTGTTGCTGAAGGTGAAGAACATCTGAGACAAACGAGTTGGAGATTTAACGATGTTCATATTGATCTTTGTATTTCCTGCCGTGAAGGTTTGTGAGAATGAATGATACGCCGGATAAACCATACGAAGCCGACCCCCTTTCAATGAATGAAATTATGTTATTGTTAATATTATTGTCGACACTGATTAAATCCATTCTTAGGATACAGTTCTGAATTGCGAATGATGTTGTTGTGTTGCGAGTTGTAAAGAATAGTCCATTTTCATCATCTTCTGCCTGTGTTCCTGCTACTGGTGTAGCTGGTCTTATAACTGGTTCACCTGCATCTGATACAATTTCAAAAATAAATTCAAGTGGGCAATAACGAATAGGTGGGTAATATCCGGATTAAATGAACCCACAACAAGGCTTGTGACCCATTCTTCCGAACTTACCCTGTTCAATTCCAGTAGTGTTAATTCTTGTTAGTTTTGGTAGAACGACGCCTCTACGGCGTGCTGCAGGTATCTGCCGCAATCTCTCTAGAATACAGCAGCTGCAGCTGAAGACTTCCTGACTGTTAAGCACAAGCGTGGCGGCAAGTGATTCACAAACTGCTTTGCATGAACACATGTGGGATTGCTCAGCTACAACATCCACCGTCATCCACCATCGCTGCGTTCGAACCAACCCTCACTGCAAAATCATTGAACCTGCCGCGGCGCCTACCCTCGCACAAACCCTATCCTTGCAAAAACCAGTCCTCGTCGTCTGTTCGCAGTCGTCTTCATCGCGTTTAGCTTCAAAAGAAGATGTTCGACTCTTGCTGCTTTGGTAGGTGGTGTTCGGGATTGGGGTAGGTTCAGTTTCAGGGCAGGTCTAACGAATCTGAAGGTTGGTTTTTGGGCTTTTGGTGTGGTGGGTTGGGTCTAGAGATGATTTTTGTTCATGCATTGGGGTGGTGGGGTGGTGCGTTGGGTTTTCAGGCATTGGGGTGAAGGATCTTTCGGGCATTTGGGTGGTGGGTGGATCTAAAGAATGGTTTTCAGGCATTTGGGTGATGGGTGGTGGGGTGGGATGGATCTGAAGGTTGGTTTTCAGGCATTTGGGTGATGGGTGGTGGGTGGGTGGTATCATACACCCAAACTGGGCAAGGTCTACTCTAACTCTTTTCGGGGTTACGCCGGGTTGAAGCTTCTCTGCTCGTTGTTTAGGCCGGCCGGGGGCCTGAACCCTTGTGGCTTTTCCGAAATCAAAGGGTTTAGGGTTTATGGGTTTAGCTGAAATCAAAGCCTTGCTAGGCCTAGGCTCTGCTCTTCAAAACCGCACTCATCATCAAAACTGCGACTCTCCCAGGATCAGGTTCAGCAGACTCCGTGCCCTGAAATCTTGTCGGAGGTAGGCTCTCGGGTCCAAGGACTCCGATGCGAACCTCAACCCTAAAACCTTCGAGTCACTTTGCAGGCCGGCAGCTGTGCATGATACTCCTCACATGCCGACAGGTTGTCGGCCAGGTGAGTGCCAGTGCAAAATTCCACGGTCTTGGTTCGCAGTGGTGGGTGTAGCGCTTAGGGTTCGGATGGGTGTAGCACTTAGGGTTTGGATGAGTTTAATGTTGAGGTTCGGGGTTTCTGTGCGAATGCTTGCCGTTTACACCTCGAATGTTAAGCCCTAGTTCTTCGTTGCTTCCATGACATGTCTCAACAGCCATGACCCCGAGTGCACCAGTCCCTTACCAGGTCTGCATACCCTTTTGCTCATCTGCTGATGAGCTGGTGACGACTTTGCCTAACTATGGTGATGAAGAGGACGACGAGGATGATAATGATGAGATACTGTAGACAACGGATGTACAGCCTACAAGTCACAGGACACAGAAATCTCATGAGTCAGAAGAAATAAAGACAGGCCGAGACACGCTGTAATCGTCCCCAGCCAAATGCCTGACGAAATCTTGAACGTTGTCCGTTTCCCAGAGTCGACGCGCAGAGCTGCCTCAGTCTGCGACACACAGAATGTCGACTCGAGCACATACACTTGATTCGGCCTATATTCCATTGTATGTGTGACCGTCGAGGCCAGCACCCCGAGACGGGAGGCATCGGTCTGCTGTCATGAACCAAGAGTTTGGAGGCTAGACATCTGAACACATTCAGTAAATATGTACGGATGCATGCATGCATGCACACCTGCATGCATGCATGAAACTACGTATGCATTTATGAGCCTATGTACACACACGCATGCCATTGTTGCTGGAGGCTTATAACCGCACACTTCCATTTTCCCCCCCCCCCCCCCGCATCTCAAGGCGGCTCCAGGAATGTCACAGCCTATTTCACAGCATTTGCCTGCGTTCTGTTATGATGTTCTCCGATTCCTATAGTTTCACCCAACTATGAGCGCTATGGTTCGGTCTTTACCTTTGCTTTCTACGTGACAAAACCGTAAGCCATGAACCCCAAAACCCAGACCCCAAACTCTACGCCAGCTTTTCATGTCAAGGAGAGCCTCGCTCTTAACCCTGATTGCGAGGCTACACATCCTCATATGTCTACCAGGGAACTGCCGGATGATGCAGCATAGTCTAGAGATATCTGCAGCACGTTTGCTGAAAGGGATGCTAGTAATTCGAGTTTGAGGCTCCGGTTTCGGGTTCAGGGTTCAGGAGTAAAGGTTGTTCGGGCGGAAGGGGGGGGCAGATGCTGGAAAAAACCGAGAGGCTTGTAGGGTACTGCAGCTCGAGCTGTCCCGCGACACTTTCGCCAATCTTCTGCACAAAGGTCGCGAAGAAAACCACCGGATTCCTTGGCTGCGCGAAGGGTTCGGGAAGGAGGGTGGAAAAGCCACAGGGTTCGGGCTTCCGGGCCCCGAATGTAAATAGAAATATGTGTGTCTACATATACACACACACACTTGCGCATGTGTTTGTGCATATGTACGTATGTATGTATGTATAGATGTGTAAAAATACACATTCACCCAAGTATTTTCATGTATCTATCTGTCTAGTATAAAGATATTGTTGATGACTTCTCGCTTGCTTGTCTTACTTACGAGACGTTGAATCCCAACCACCGTCAACGAATTAAGTAATCAGTTAAGTAACCAAGGCAGTATTCAACGAATCAACCAATTGCCTGCTTCATTTGCAACACAACGACCATGTAATTGAGCAACAGTTACTTAATCAGTTAATCGATAAACAAACGAACTATCTAACAAGCACGACATAACATGGCAATGAACCTTGCTCGTTCATGAAGTTAACTTAACTTTGCACATACATACATACGTACATACATATATATATATATATCACATAGCAGACAGATCTCTATGACACAACATACATCTGCGCCTGGGGTGGGAGCCTTTCTTATACTTCTGCATCGAGTCCGCGGCTTTGTCGGTGGCTTGAGGAACCCAAACGTTACGGAATCGGAAAAGGGTTTGGGGTTCGGGTTTTGGCGGATTAAATGGTGAGACATTTTAGTTCTCTAGTGGTCCTCGGTCTCTAGTTCTACAACCCCCGCTTGTATGATTAAACTCCAATACATTAACGCTACACGCCAATCCCTTGGCAGACAACCCTGTGGCCAAGAGTGAAGCCTAAACCTTAAACCCTGAACCTTAAACCCTAAACCCTAATTCCCGCTGCGAGCTTGCCCTAGGCACTCTTCGAAAGGACTTCTTTTTCGCACCGAGTGGATGAAGCATCAACTGGTTTCGCAGATAAACAGAACTCTCAAAAGCCATCGGTGATGCCGGAGAGCTCGACGATGGTGATTTAACCTTCAGGACCTCCGTGGTGGCGGGGTGGTGGCGGACGACTTGAGAAGAAAGATTGCCAGGGCTCGAGCTTTTGCGACCTCAGCAGAGTCTTATGCCGCACGAACAGCCTGGCAGGAATGTGAGTGGCATTCCCGCTGCGAGCTTGCCCTAGGCACTCTTCGAAAGGACTTCTTTTTCGCACCGAGTGGATGAAGCATCAACTGGTTTCGCAGATAAACAGAACTCTCAAAAGCCATCGGTGATGCCGGAGAGCTCGACGATGGTGATTTAACCTTCAGGACCTCCGTTTCCGCCCCCCCCTCCGTAAGGACGGCGTAGGTTGAGCACCAGGAGGAAGCACGTGATGAAGTCCATAGGGCGGGCCGGGAGGGAATGGCCTCCAGGCGGTGCGACAGGAGGCGGCGGCGCCGGTGAAGGAGAAGCAGCGATCAACGCCGGCGGCGGCACGTAGGGATTGGAAAGACCGAGTTGTCCATATAACCATTCCACCAGCGCATCTTCGAGCTCGGCCGCAGATGCATTGAGCTGAAACCACAGTTCACGAAATACTTGACTTACCAAGCTCATCACTGCTTTCACCAACAGTCGCACAATGATCGCAATCGTAAGGGCGATGAGGCGAGGGAAAAGGAGCACAACCAAGACGACCAGGACAGTCCTCCAGTTCATTCTCAATATACGGCTTCGCATAGCCGGACCGTTCCACGACCAGGGTGTGCGTAGCCAGGTCCATCCAGAAGGGGCCTCTGGGCCCGCACTGACGACGGCCAGGCCTCTCAATGGACCTCCACGGCGAGGAGGAGCTGAGCACTCCGGGCTCGCCACTCCTCCTCCGTCAAGTCGTGCAGCCGGGCACGCCGGGCCCGCCACTGCACCACCATAACTTTGGAGTGCTTGCACCATTCTAGCAAGCACAGCACGCTGGTCAGACGTCGAGTTGGAGTGCCGGCTCTCCAACGAGCGGCCGCCTCACAAGTCGAGGGATCTGCAAGGACCTCGGCCGGGGAGAGGTTGGCACTGATCGGTTCCGGTCCTAGCTTTTGGGCCGCCTGGTTCACAGCAGCTAGCAGCTCTCCTGCAGGCACAGAGGCGTCAATCAGAGCACCAGGTCCGGCATCGGTCTGTGATGCCAAACCTTTCCCCGAACCGACACGCGAGAGCCGTAAAGTTGCTCTTTTGGGAGCCGCCGCTCGAGCTTCTTCCATAACTCACCGAATGCTCCAGCTGCTGCCTTCGCTTTGGCTCCACCCTTCTCGTAGCCGGAGTCAGCGAGTTCACGAAGTGCCCGAGAAAGGCGCCCCTCCATCTCTCTATCACCCCTTTGTCAAAAGCTGCTCGAGATCAACATCCGGAGGCGAATGCAAATATGAGGCATGCTCACGAAGACTACAAAGGATTCTCCGGGCTTCCTGAGGGGCTTGCGATACAGCCTGAATGGAGAGAGCTGTTTGCAAGTAGTGCCTCAAAGTTTCGGCACGCGCCCAGCGACCCGCATACTGCAATTGGCCGATGTTCTGGTGCACTCTGAAGTGGTGTGTGGCACCGCCCCCCCGTAGCGAGCCTAATGTGAACCCGCACGTCCCGAGCTGCATCTCCTCAAGCGCTTGCCTGAAGAGCACTGCCCATCGACGCCGGCTCACACGCATCACACGCTGGCTCCTTGGGCGGCCTTTGCACCACCATTGTAGCCACCGCATTAAATCCAGCTCCTCCGCCAAAGCGAATTGATGATGCCATACTCGCCGTGTTTTCGGGTTCCTTATGTTGATCACCAGGGCAGCTCCTTGGCCCACTTCCTCGTCCACCGGGAAGAGAAGGTCGGCTATCCTGAGCGAGTCAACTTCCCCCGGCCGAAGAAGAGCACAGAATCCTATCCAGGTGCCTATCAAGGTTGACCACCATTCTGCTCGAAGATGCCCGGTGTATTGGAGGCCTCGTGTCAAGAAGAATATCAATAAACCTCTCCAAATGTAATAAGGCAGTGGAATCCGGGGCTTAATCGGCTCCAGACGTCGCCACCCTCGTAAAAGAGTCCAAGAGTTCTTCAGCAACGGGCCTGCAATACGAAGCATCCTCTGTATCCCTAGCACGCCCAGCACGACCCAGTAGCGTTTTTCTCCCGAGTCGTAGGCATGGCAGATGGCTTTCTCCAACAGGCGATCCACATAAGCTGGAGAGGATCGCTCAGTGAACTTTCCCCCCAACGCATGCACTGATTGAAGTAAGCACTGCCCTGCCTCGCGTAGGTGCCTTCGATAATCAGACGACAGAGCCGCTTGGCTCAGTCGGTGGTGGCCCCCCTTTCCACGTGGCATGGGCTGCCGCCAGCTCCCTACATGAAACTCTCACTCGCGCCTCGGCCCCCAGCGTCCGGGCCCACGGCTTTTCGCCATGATAAGCACCCTTCGGCCCCAAACTCAAGCATGAGCCCAGCCACGGTGCATTGGATAACAGCAGTGCTGGCTGAGGCATAATCGCAACGTGGCTCGGGTACTTTGCAGGCGCATTCCAACGGAACAGTTTCAAGCCTTCTTTTCGTCGGAACAGTTCGGTGCATGGCAGCTGCCAGGCCTCGCTTTGCCGGGGATGTTCGATCACGAAGTGACCTCCGAGGTGGGAGATTTCACTGGCCAACTCCAGAGCACGGGCCCAGCACGCAAGTTCATGGTCAGCTTCAGCTCCGGGCGCGGCCGGGTAATGCTTGAAGCCAGCGGACCGCCTGCGCCCCAAAGTTTTCGAGGGTGGTCTTAACCACAGCCAGTCAACGAGACCCTCGGCAATGACCCGATCCACCTCGGGATCGAAAACGTCGAGTTGCGACGACCCCCCGACGGGAGGCAGCATCCTCCAGCCCTGCTCCAGATAGGCTCGTGTGATCATACCCGGCTTCTCGAAAACCTCCCAGCCTACGGGTGCTCGATCGGAGAAGATACCAAATTGATGCATCCACTTCCTAGCTGGGCTGGCGGGAGGCAGCATCCGAAAGCGCGATGGCCAATCGGCAAGGTTAGCTGAGGTCTCGACCCACAGGAGAGCCAGGTGCACCCGGCCAAAAGCCAGGAATGGAAGCTGTGACCTTAGGATCCCGTTCAGTCGGAAGGAGCTTGATCTTCCCTTTCCCACAGCACCTACCACGACCATCGAATCGTTGAGGGCGATCTGAACGCTGTCCATGTTGGCTGGGTCACTGACGAAACGGACCACCTCTCGCTTCAATGCACGCGCCTCCTGCAAGTTGATGTGGTGTGTCTTGCGAAAGGAGTAAGACCCTACCACCTCCCATCGGAGACATGGGGCGATGCTCGCCGCGAACTTTGAAGCCTCCAGCGGCGCGGCCTTAAGCAGGTGATCCGAATCGGGGTCCAAACGGACCGGCGCTCCCTTGATCTCAGAGCGGCGCCACAGCTCTGCGGCCAGAGCTGGTGCCACTTCCGCACGAACGGCCCCACCTGAGGATGGAGTCGCGTCAGTGGCCAAGAGAGACGAGGACAGGTGTGAGCGCATGCTCCAGGTCGCCAAGGGTAAGTGCAATGCCACAGCGCGCAACTCATCAGCGATGTACCCGGGAAGCCGCACAGTCCTGCCAGGCTCCAGCTTGGACACGAAGACATAGAAGTGGTGCAAAAGGCAAAAGAACTCCCGCCTGAACTGGAAGATGAAGGCAATAAAGCCCCCGAGCTTCTCCATAGCCTCCTTCGTAGTCCGTCCTGAGGCGATGAGTTGAGCGATCAGCCACCACAGCTGCTTCCTTACTTCCAACGGTGCCCCAACCTTGCCCTCGATCCCGTCAACCTCGGCGCCCCAAGCTTTGAAACGCACCTGCGCACGAAAAGACTTTTGCAATGCTCTCGGTAACTTCGCCTCCACGTAGGCAGCCTCGGCCTTCTTGGCATGCACCATGTCGGCGTCCTGGTCCTGCGGAGCAGGCGGTACAAAGCTGCCGTCCAGGGGCACGACAAAAGGCATAGCAACCTTCAAGGTGATGAGCAGGTCGTCAAGGTAGATGCCTTCCCACAGCGGATCGGTTGGCACTGGACAGCCGTACACAAGTTTGTGCTCAGCCTTCAGCAAGCCGTGGCGCTGCAAGATGCTCTCGTGCGTCGCCTGCGCGATGGAGCAGGCGTTCTTATCGCCCATCCCCAGGACTCTGAAGCACAGCCGGTGATCCTGATTCGCGTCGCCCCCGAATTCCCGCACGACCTCCTTGCTGACACGACGGCCCACTGGATTGTACCGGACCCATCCCGCTGGCAACTTCAACATGTAGTAGAAATTCTTAAGGTCATCCCCCGACCCCCGCAGAAACTCGTTCGGCTCCAGCAACATTCTAACGAAACACGCCCCTGAGGGCAGCGCTTCCCAGCCCAAATGTGGCATGGTGTTGTTCTCGGGCCTCCGGTCGTATATCAAGCGATCGTGCTGCTGGTCTTTGCCTACACAGAAAAGCCCTCCACAAAGAAGCTTCCCCTCCGAAGTCCGTGGCAGATCACGCTCACAAACAAGTTGAGCCATGCCTGTGCGAAGAAGCTTCCGGGCCAGGTCGGCTTCGTGCTCCTGCGGCACACGATGGCAAGCAACCACCGCTTCGCCCCACGCTGCCTCAGGCAGTCTCAGCTCCTCCAAGTTTCCCACCACCGCCGCCTGGCACGGAGGTAGCCAGTCCAGCGGGTCCACCACGCCAGCGGTCTCCGGCACGGCCACCCGATCAGCAGCCACAGGGAGAGCGCCAGCAGGAGCAGGAACCTGACCCACTCCATAGCTTGCAAAGTTGAGTTGCAGCATCTCCTCCAAGACAGACCTTTTGCCTGAACACGTGAGAGACCCAAAAATTAACTCAACCGAAGCGAATTCAACCACCTCGCCGAGCAACTTCTCAGAGTACTGCTGCACATCCACTCTGTGAAAAACTCGCGGCTCCAATGCTGAACTCCCCAAACTAGGGCACCCAAGCACCACGAAGTTGCCCCAGGCTACAAACGTGTTTACGAAAGCCTTGGACCACCAGAGCAGAGCTTGGTCATCGCCTTGCACCTCCTCGACAAAAGAGGCCTCCGGAAAGGGGAGCACAGCCGGGAAAAGTGGCACGTCGTTGCCGGCACGAACCGGCAGTGTACCTTGGATGCCTTCAAACCACATATAATATTCCATAAATTTTGAATTCGATCCTTCCAGGGCGGGGTGCTTAAGGACGCGCCCCAGGGATGCATGCAGTCGTTCAGGATTCACTTTCGGTTGGAGGAGGACGGCTCTTCGTCCTCTTCGCCGGCCGTTGATGCATTCGCCTCTTTCACCTTCTTGCGCAGGCTGGCCAGCGCTTCCACATACCCGGAAATCACCGACATCTCCTCCCGAGTGCCTGCGAAGTCTTTCCGCTGCATCGGGTCCACGAGCCCTGTCAGGAGCCAGGCCGAAGCCCAGTCCCCCCCTTGCAGAACTGATTGGAGCTTGGCTTTCATGTTCTGCACCAATTGGGCTGCTGCTACATCGTGATTCCCTGCTCTGATTTGCTCGTAAGCTGCTACATCCATCATTGCACACCGATAAATCCCCTTGAACTTGCCCCAAGGTTGCTTGCGCATGTAGTCCCGAAGGGTCCAGCTTTGGCCGGGCACAATGCCTAGCTCCTCCCGAATCTCCTTCTCGTAGGCCAAGTAGATCTTGCGAGGATTCTTCTGGATACGGTCGTGCAGGCGATGCAGCGTACTCACGGCGCGCAAGCCACGATTTTGCGTCTTGCGGTCTCCTTCCGAATCGTCGGAAGATGAACCACCAAGGAGGCTGCTTGCATCCAGCTTGTCGCTGCGATCGCGCCGGCGGCTTCGCTTCCGGTCCTCCCCCAACATAGCCATCAGCGCCAGCGGCAGGAGATCGTTCGCACTTTGCCCCCCAGCCAGGGCTCTGGCGACCTCTTGCCTGAGATCTACAGCGGGCTCCTGGCTCGCTTTCCGAGGCTTGGCTTTCTTCGCCCCAACACCGGGCCGGAGAAACTCCTCTTCCTCTGCCTCTTCGTCCTCGTCCTCGGTGTCGTCGTCCTCCTCGTCGTCTTCGGCCTGGCTGGCCCGAGGCTTCCGGAAAAGGGCCTTCAAAGAACCGAGCTCTTGCTCGATCCGAGCCTTCCCCCGAGTTGGAGGCTGGCTGGGGCGAGCTTCGGCTCCACTGCTGTTCAGATCTCGATCGGCTACCTGACCCCAGGCTTTCAGGGCATTGCTCCATGAAGATAAGTCTTTACTCCGCAGTCCTTTCCAGTCGCTCGGACGGGCAGGCAACAATGATGCACAATTCACTTTGACGAACCCAATCTCTTCGCCCCCTGCTTTGCAATGCGTCTTGCTAGCAATCGCGCTCAGCGACGAAAGAGGAGCTGCTAAACAAGCTTCGGTCTCAGTAATGTGCACAATCCAGCCCGTCACTTGCACGTGGCCTGCCGAGCCATGGCACACTACATGCGCCACGTCGCCTACCTCCATCTTGAAACCCCTGACGACTTGAGAAGAAAGATTGCCAGGGCTCGAGCTTTTGCGACCTCAGCAGAGTCTTATGCCGCACGAACAGCCTGGCAGGAATGTGAGTGGCAACCTTTAATCCCAAACCCCAAACCTCAAACCCCAGATCCTAAATCCTGCACCTTAAACTTGGCTCAATCCAGGCCGGGGGTTCATCTGACAAGGCTTCCTGAGCAAACTAAATCGCCCCGAACTCGCCAGGGCCCCTAAAGACCCGCTCATCGGAGGACTTCAAGCATTTTCGGGTTTCACTGTTTTACGTTTAGGGTTCTGTGGAACTTAAATTCCAGCACATCACGACAAGGACATATCTGAAGCGATATAATATCCCTCCATCAGTTTCCGCAGCGCCTCTTACACTCTGTGCAGCACCCTCCTCAGAGCCTAAACTACCCTACGCCCCAAACCTGCACCCTGAACTGAAGCCCAAGGTCAGGTCAGGACCGCCGATGGCCACGTTCACCTCCATAGGACAGCTGATTCAAACTCTCGGGCTTGGGGTCGAGCGTTTGCGGTTTAGGGTTTAGGGTTTAGTGTTTAGGGTTTAGGGTTTAGGGTTTAGGGTTTAGGGTTTAGGGTTTAGGTTTAGGGTTTGGGGTTAGGGTTACGGTGTTGCGGGGGCTTCGGAACTCGCAGGTCAAGACCTAACTGAGGATGACTCAGGGTTGAAAGCCTAGCTTACTTTACCCCCCACCTAGTCCCTAAACCCCAAACTCTTAACGGTTTAGGGCTTTGGGTTTAGGGCTTAGGGTCCCGGAGACAGAAGGAGAAATCAGCCCAGAACCCGAGCCCAGTCGCGCCTTAGAGCAGCAAGCTACGAGGCAGCCCATGATGAGTGCAGTGCTCAGGTTCATCTTCACTCCTGCCGTTTAGGGGTTTAGGGATTTGGGGGTCTAGGGGTTTAGGGTTTAAAGGTGCAATCCAAGAATCGGTTTTGGGGTTTCGGATTGAGGGCCTAGTCTCTAGAATCCACGCGAGAATGCATTCAGGGCAGTTTAAGGTTCAAGGCTCAGGGTTTAAGGGTGGTTGTCAAAATTAGGGTCCCTTTTTGGGCACCCTAAATATTAGGTGCCGTACTATGTAAGGGACCCAAGAAGGGACCATAATTTTGACAACCACCCATATCTAGGGTTTAGGCGCCAGAATCCTCCCAAACCCGAGAACAGGGCCAGAAACCCCTCAGGAAAGGAACCCTAATCCCCCTAAACCTTAAGTGCTTAGGGTCCTTTACCTTAACCCCACGTAACCTACTTTTTCAAGGACTTATATAAAGATATCATATTAGGGAACCCTAAAAAGGTAGGTTCCTTAGGGTCCAGGTAAGGCTTGGTCCTTTGGGTTTTCGGCTTCCTTTTTGGGCTACTTGGATCGCTCCTAGGGCTCCATGCTGCTTGTGGAAGTCGTCGCTGAACATGATCATCCCGTAAGCGCAGCAGAGGCCGAACATCCTGGGCTTGGGGTTTCGGTGCTTTTGGGGATTAGGGTTTTGGGTTTCGGGGTTTTGGGGCTTGGAGTTTAGGGGTTTTGAAGCTTAGTGCTTTGGGGTGTAGGGGTTTTGGGGTTTTGGGGGTTGAGGGTTTTGCGGTTTAGGGGTTTAGGGTTTTGGGGTTTTGGGTTTTGGGCTTTAGGGTTTGGCGGTTCGGGGAGTCTTGGGGTTTTGAGTTTAGGGTTCTGGGGCCTTGGGTTCGGGGCTTCGGGCTTTCAGCTTTGGACTCTATGCGGTTGTAAGGGCTTAGGGTTTAGGGTTTAGGGTGCTACCGTATACACCCTGATCCCTCTTTTGCCTTTTGGGATTGGCAAACACCCCACTTGAGAGCTGGTCACGAAAGCTAGAAGCACGAGGTCCGGTGCTGAGCTCTGCAAAGCGATGTGCACGACAGTAGCGGAGGGAAAGTTTGAGCCGGTGAAGGGTGCAGGCGTTGCTCGTTCATTTAACTCTTGAGAAAGTAATGTGCGAACGACAACTAGAGGTAACTCTGGAGAGAAGACCGCACTTCAGTCGCCGAACGTCAGACACAAACAAAACCAAGGGACCTTGAGGAGGGGGGGGGGGAGGGGGGACCTCATGATGGGGGGGGGCCCCCCCCCCCCACCTTATCCCAGGCACAACCACCTTAAAGGAGGGGGGGGAGGGGACCTTATCAGTGGAAAACGCATAATGACAAGGTGAAGCGGGGGGGCCCCCCCCCTACCCCCCACCTTAACTCTTGGACGTCCCACCTGATAAGGTGCAAACCCTGTTTTTTCCCTAGTGCCTTAATACAAGTGAATTGCTAAAGGGCAACTCCCGCGAGCTCCACAGAGCTAGCTTTCGTGAAAATACCAGAACTGCGGGACCAAAGAGCTCCAAACCCATGACATGCGAACTTCATAAAAGAGGGGTTTAGAGCATTAGGGCTTAGGGTTTAATTGTTTAGGGTAGCCATTCAGCTCACTGATAGAGTACAGGGTTTTGTGTTTGAGGCATAGCTTCGGGTTCACCGTCTAGGACTCCAACTCCTCTACAAACCAAAGCAGGATCCTTTTCGAAGAAAGCCCCACATGAACCAGAGGCAAGAGGCAAGAGGAAGTTAATCAGCGAAGAGATCACGGCAGTAAGCCAAAACACCGGCTTGCCATGACCTCAGCTGGACTGGACTGGGTCATGTAAGAAGGTCAATACTTAAAAGTGTACATTAGGGTTGCTTGCGGAACACGATTGTAAAGGGTGGTGGAACTCATAACAGACTTGTGGCAATGGGAAAATTCCGGATCGTGCCACAGTGCAGGGGAAGCACGCATGCGATGGGTGGGTAAAGCCATCGGCTTCGCTCGCTCTTTTCCTGCACCCTGTGAACAACTTGCAGCTGGCGACTGTGTCCTGCGGGGCCGCCTTCCACGGCATTCCTGCAACTCGACACAAGAGTAGTAATAATACTAATGGTAATAATAGTAATAATAATAATAGTAGTACAAATAGTAATAAGTAGGGATCAAGCTGCCTTTCCTTGCACACCCCTGGAGCAGTGCAAAACGACCACAGAGGGCCCGGGTCCTCTTCTCAATCCGCGCTGCCACCTCCAGCTCATTCTTGTCCAGCTGTCTCTGCTGATATCCCGTCAACGCCTGCCCACTGCAAGGCACTCGAAGAGGCTCAAAAGATGGCTGGCATTTCGCGGTTCGGGGCTCTGCGATTTCAAAACAGCCGACGCAGCCCACCGAGACTCCATAACTCTTCTGCAAAACACCACTTGCCGGATGTGCTCCCTCCTGGTGGGTGACCTTGGCATCCTCGCCCCCCTTGGTAGGACAGCAAGAGGTAAGCAGAAACACACCAGGAGCATCACCTGCTTCTTGGTGATAGTGATTGCAGGGTGTCTCGTTTGTATCGGAAAACACCCTATTTGCACACTACCTCATTTGCCAGAGGTCAGTACAATTGGCAGCGGTCCCATTTGTAAGTAGCAAACTCGCAAGAGGTAGCACTTACAGTCGTGGTGGTGTGGTTGTGTTTCTGGTGGTGAGTAGTACTGACAGGTCCTATTGTTATGATGTTCAGTGCGATTAGGCCGAGGATCTGCATGGTGGTCAGTTTAGGATCACTGAAAAGCTTGCGGGTTACAGGGCTTAGGGTTTAGGGTTTAGGGTGATTTT